ATGTGAAAGTTCGACAATGAATAAGGAAGACAATAGAATAATTGATACATTTGAGTTAGGGTGTTAGAGAAGAATATTTTAAATGCCATGAACTGCCAAAAGAACAAATGTTGGAAGAAGTACAACCTTAGAAGACAGGATGGTGAGACTTTATCTCTTATAATTGGGACATGTTACTATGAAGGACCGGTCCCTTAAGAAGGATATCATGCTCGGTAAAGTGGAGGGTCAGGGAAAAATAGGAAACCCCAGCAAGGTGAATTTGCACAGTGGCATCAGAAATGGCTTCAAGCTTAATAATGATTGTGAGGACGGGGCGGGAACAGGCAGTGTCTTGTTCTGTTGTGTATAAGGTCACTATGAATCGGGACTGACTTGATAGCACCTAAGAACAACAAAAACAACATACACACGTGTATATAGATGCATGAATGTATATATATATATATATATATATGTATATATATGTATACACACACACACATACACATACTTACAAATCGGGCGGCAAACCACAAGGCCAGCAGTTCGAAACTACCAGCTGTTCCACAGGAGAAAGATGAGGCTTTCTGCTCCCGTAAAGATTTACAGCCTCGGAAACCCTGTGCAGGGTGACTATGAGTCAGAACCGATTCCACAACACAAAACCACCAACAACCACCACCTATATATATATATATAAAACTGATTTTTAGGAATTAATTCATGTGATTGTTAGCGCTGGCAAGTCCAAAATCCATAGGGTAGGCAGCAAACCAGAAATTCCTCCAACAGGATGTTTATGTTACAGTCTTGAGACAGAATTCCTTCTTTGCCTGGAAACCTCTGTTGTTGCTCTTAAGGCCTTCCACTGAATAGATGAGACCCATCCATATTATGGAGCATAATCTACCTTTAAAATTAAGAGTTTTCTTATTATAAATATTAATCATATCAACAAAATACATTCCAGCAACATTTAGACTAGTGTTTGACCAAGCAACTAACTGGGCCCCACAACCTAGTCATAAAATTAACCTTCACATCACCTTTTTTAAAGGTACTTATACTACTAATCAGCCTATTAACATTTGAACTACCTCTCTTCCATTTCTCAGTTTACCTAGATGGAACAAAATCTGAAGGGGACCTCTTTTCACAAGTGTATGAAGATCTAATACACGAACTAGCAAAGCAAAAGTGTAAGTATTGCCCTATCACAGTGGAAGGTAGAGAAAGAATTAACATATATCACAGAATGCCAGTATACAGGGGATTTTATTCTTTCATTCTTTATTCCATAATGCAGACTCAGAGATAATATATAGTTTTGGGAACTTGATTATACCCATTCCTCAACTATTGATATGGTTAGGTTCTAAAAACCTTTATGTGAATATTGATGTTATATGAAAATTATCATTAAGTAAAACTGGAGGAAGACTACATTTCTGTCTGCCTTGGGTACTGAGCCCAGCCAGGCGGCAGTGTCCTGTTTTAGTGGCCATTGAATTGACCCTCAACTCATGGTGACCCCATGCACAACAAGATCAGACCACTGTGATCCACAGGTTTTACATTAGCTCATTTTCAGAAGTAGGTTGCCAGACCTTTCTCCCAAGTCTTAGTTTGGAAGCTTCACTGAAAACTGGTCAGCACCATAGCAACAGGTAAGCCACCAATGAACTTGAGGTACATTGTCCAGGAATCAAACCCAGGTCTCCTACATGGAAGGCAGGAATTCTACCACTAAGCCACCATTACTCTTCCCACCCCCAGTTAATCCTAACAACCCCCTCAAAAAAAACACAAAAAACCGGCCATCAAGTAGATTCCCACTCATAGTGACTGTATAGGGTAGAATATACCTGCCCCTTGGGAATTCCAAGTTTAACCCCTAATTTCAGGAATCGCCCTTCATGTCAGCATGAACCCACTTGAAGACATTTCAGAACCATTTTTAAATGTCTTCCTGCAAGTGGGACTTGAAATCTTTGTCCAATATGCCTGCCCAGCACTGCCATCTGTTATTTGAGAGAAGGCCAAAACCAAACCCAACCCACTGTTGTTGTGTGGCTTCTGGCTCCTGGTGACCCTGTAGCACAGAGTAGAACCACCTCGTGAGTTTCCAAGACTAAATCCTCATGGAAGTAGATTACCTCATCATGCTCCCATAGAGTGGCTGGTGGATTCGAACCACTCACCTCTTGGTTAGCAGCCCAGTGCTTAATGCTTGACCTGATGTACCACCAGGGCGCCTTCTGATAAAGCCCAGGTACAGGCACAAGTGAGCGTAGAGACTGTGGGTAAAGCGGGGCTTTCCTTTTCATAAGTGTTAGCCCCTCAATTCTGAAGTGATGAGGAACAGTCAGCCTGTCTTTCACTTTGTAATGAGATAGCCCAAGTGTATTTCAGCTGCCAGATACCTGTAGCTTTCCACCTTGATAGTGGCCAGTGCTCAGTCCAGTTCTCCTTTGCCCACTAAGTCTTATACTGAGATTTAGCCGTATGATCTGCCTGCTGATAATAAGAAAGTTACCTTAGTTACATAAATTTAGGCAAATCATGCCCAGCCTCATTGTAAATGCCAGCTTCCCAAGGCTAAAGGACAGCTGACATGTTTTGACAAGTGCTCAGAGCCACAAGAAACTATATTTCCAAATGTTAGACACCCTCCTCTTTCCTCACCTGTATGGTAGACGCAGGTAATGAATTAATCAATTATACCATTTAAGACCCATATTTTGGGATAAAGTTTAAAAAGGAAAAAAATCAAAACATCAGAAGAGTAATAAATGTGAAGCAGATCTGTTTTCCCTACTTCCAAGATGTTATTTCTCTTTCAGTGCCATATATAACTTATTGTGTTGTTTTTAGTATTCCTACCACCTTACCAGTTCTTCCACTAACAGTACTCTGTCAGAGCCAGCCTGGAGGCTTCCTCAGCTTAGTCTAGTTTAACCATCATCAGTTAAAGGCTGAGCTAGTTGGGGCAGCCTTTTAGATGTTTCCATTGATACTCTTCAAGGAATCCTGGTAGCATAGTGGGTTACAAGTTGGGCTGCTAACCACAGGTCAGCCTTTGAATCTACCAGTCGTTTCACAGGAGAAAGATGATGCTTTCTGCTCCTATAAAAAAAATTACAGCCTCAGAAACCCTATACAGGGTCCCTAGGAGTTGGAATTGACTCAAGGCCACATAACCACCACCACCACCTTGGAAGAAGTGTAATCAGAGTACTCCTTGGAGGCCAAGATGGCCAAACTTGGTCTCTCATACTTCGTACATATTGTCAGGAGGGACCAATCGCTGGAGAAGGATATCATGTTTGGTAAGGTGGAGGGTCAGAGAAAAAGAGGAAGACCACCAATGAGATAGATTGGCCAAGTGGCAACAGTAGTGAGGATTGGGCAGTGTTTCATTCTGCTGTGCATAAGGTCGCTATGAGTTGGTATGACTCGATGGCACCCAACAATAACAACGACAACCACTATCATCAAGCTTGTTCTCATAATAGCTCATAAACCTACTTAGTCAATTTTTTATTCTAAGCATATAAAATCATAATTTTGATAAGGTAGTAATAATGAAAGGGAAACAAAGATTGAATTAACCAAACACTAAATAATCCACCTTTAGAAGCGAGGGTGGCCAGACTTCATCACTTATACTACGGACATATTATCAGGAGGGACCAGTCCCTGAAGAGGGCCATCATGCTTGGTAAAGTGATGGGTTGGAAAAAAAGAGGAAGACCCCCAGCGAGATAGATTGGCACAGTAGCAGCAGCATTGGACTCAAGTGTAGCAACGATTGTGAGGTTGGCACAGGATTGGGCAGTGTTTTATTCTGTTGTGCATAAAGTTGAGTTGGTACCAATTTGACAGCAGTTAACAACAAATAACCCAAGAAATTAAGGTTTCCATGTTATATGTTTAATTCAGTACTTCTTTAAATCCTAACTTTGAGGGGGAAATTATCACCTATTCCCAACATAACAAGGCAGTCCAACCACCAGAAACATTCAAACTACCTTTAAAGGCATTTAATTTCACCTGGGAATTGGTATAAACTATTAATTCACTCAGCTGCTAACTGAAAGGTTGGAAGCTAGAGTCCACTTAGAGGTGCCTCAGAAGAACCATCTGACTGTCGGCTTCCAAAAAAATTAGCCATTGAAAACTCTGGAGCACACAGCATCTCTGACATACATGAAAACTCTATGGAGCACACAGCATCTCTGACATACACGAAAACTCTATGGAGCACACAGCGTCTCTGACATACACGAAAACTCTATGGAGCACACAGCGTCTCTGACATACATGAAAACTCTATGGAGCACACAGCGTCTCTGACATACATGAAAACTCTATGGAGCACACAGCGTCTCTGACATACATGAAAACTCTGTGGTGCACACAGCGTCTCT